GAAAAAAGAAGAAGCTACCAATAATAAAAATACTAATGCACTTTTTAAGATTTTCCATCCCCATGTGGGGCAAATTGAGATTTCACATCTGACACGGTATAAGTATATACACTGATACACAGGGCGCTCATATAGTACTATAGTAGTCACCTTCCTTGCCTATACTTGCTCAGAATATTCATCTCTCTGAAAATTTCCTTCTTCAAGCCCACAAGATTTTTCCCTGAATTTCAGCTACTTTTTTTTTTTGGTCTGCTAGGGCTTTCTTTGTATGATAAATTGTAACTTTACCTTTACATTTATATCTTTTTCTTTTTCTTTCAATTTTTGGAAAAGTAGTTTGATCGGTAATGGCTGTTTTTCCGGCAACAGCTTTGCCGGTCGGGTATAGATTCCGGCCGACGGACGAGGAGCTTATCGACCACTATCTAAGGAACAAAATCAATAGGCGGGACAAGGAAGTCAGTGTGATTCGTGAAATTGATATTTGCAAGCAGGAGCCCTGGGATTTGCCACGTACCTCTTTCTTTTTCAATGACTTTTTTCTTTTTAAATATCTCCAATTTTACTTTTGAATTAGTGTTTGTATGTGTGTGTGTGTGTGTGTGTTTTCAATGTGCCGTCTTCAGAAAGGAAAAAAAAAACATAAAGATTGGTTCTTTTTGTTTTTTGAGTTACTTGCATTGAGTTTTGCTGGTTATTACAATGAATTATGTCCTGTTAACAGCTAGGTGGATCTGAAATCTTTAGGGGATTCACTAATTTTTGTGTGAGACGGTCTAAACGTTAGTCGGGTCGACCGTCATACTCTTATGTGGAGCTTTTTTTATATTGTTATTTTAAGTATGGTAATGCAGTTTGAAGCATGATCTGTTGAAAAAAGATGGCTTTATGTAGGATTTTGTCTTAAAAAGGTTTCAAGTTCCTAGTGTTTGTTGCACTGCATGTTGTTAAAAGGATGCTTGTGTGTTTTTCTGGTGTCCTTATGAGAGTATCATATGAGAATGGTTGAACTAAGTTTTATTCTTTTGATGAAATTAGCCAGTGGCATAATTCCCCCCAATTAATAATTGATGAGATCAATGTTCCGGTTTTCGCACGAGAATATTTTCAAATTTTCTCATTTGTGTGATATGCAAAAAACATGAATTTTCATTGTATTTTTTTTGCAGATTTGTCTATGATACAGTCTAAGGACAATGATTGGTTCTTCTTCTGCCCAAAGGATAGAAAATATCAAAATGGGCAGAGATTAAACCGAGCAACATTAAAGGGGTACTGGAAAGCAACCGGTCGAGACAGAACCATAAAATCCGGAAAGGGTGAAATCGGATTGAAAAAGACTTTGGTTTTCTACAGTGGCCGTGCACCCAATGGCAAGAGGACACATTGGGTGATACACGAGTATCGTGCAACTGATAAGTCGCTTGATGGCACACATCCCGGTCAGGTTAGCATTTCATTTGCATCTCGTAGGTTTTAAGCAATCCTTTTCAAATGTTTTTTGTTCTAGTTTGTTGGCAGTTACGCGAACATATATTTTTTTTTAAGAGGAAATATCTATTTTCTCCCAACTCTAAAACATGAATAAGTTTTTCACAGAAAAAAAGTTAACTTTTTCACCCCAGTGCAAAAGCATTATGTGGTAATTAGGCGACAATTGTGCGATTGACATTGTGCAAAATTCAAAATGCGAAGGCATAACCCTTCGCACTTTCTGATGTGAATATGCGACAGTTATGTGAATGATATTCGAATAACTGATTCGCATTTAACCTGTTGTTAAAACTGTTCGAATGATGTGTTGCACTTTGAACTACTATAAGCAATGTGCTCCAGCACATGAGTGAAAGAATAAGGAGTTTCGGTAGAGTTTACTGGATTGTGACACATGAGTTAGTTTGACTTCAAGAGATTTTTCTATTGAACAAGTGGCATTAGATACTTCTGTTTACTAGTCATTTCGTTCTTTGCCTAGTTAAATTACTTGCTCTTACTTGAAAAAGGTTTTTCGAGGATGAAATTTTTAGTATTGCAGGTTGCGATTTGGATATGTAAATTTTGTTAGTGTAGATTACTACATCTTGTTAATATTGATGATTTGACGATTCTCTCTTAAATAGAGTTCCTATGTGCTCTGCCGCCTCTTCAAAAAGGCTGATCTTAAAAAAGATGAGGTCTGTGAAGTTGATGAGACTCCATCACCTCCCAGTGAATTTAAATCCTCGGCTGAAGACGAACAATCAGAATCAGTTACGCCTAATTTTGGTGGTTCAACTGGAATGCAATTTCCCAGTTTCGAAAGCGACCCAACTTTTGATTCAGAAAAAGCTATTGATGTCGCTCCTTTACCTGTTGACTTGCATGGGAATAGCTCTGTGGCGAATGAGATAGAGGACAATGTGATGGGCACACCGTCTATTCAAGTAAGTGAAAACTTGGAAATCTGAGGTCAACTGTGGGGAAAAAATGCGGTTTAATGCCATAACAAGTTTAGTCCAAAGATTCCAACTTTTCGTCTTTTGGTCTTGTAATTTAATATTTTGCTATTTTGCTTATTCTTTGAGTCCTTTGAGGACTGAAATTGCAACGAAATTTTAAATTATATGACGGAAATTGCTAATCAAATATCTAGGAATTTGGGAATTTGTTGCAATGTCAGTCGTGAAATTGCAGCAAAATATTAAATCACGGGACCAAGAAGCGAAATGTTGGAACCTTGGAACTAAAATTGATATGGCGTTAAATCAGCAGGACTAAAAATACAATTTTGCCTTAGGAATTGTTTCCTTTCCAAATTACGATTTCTAGTCCTGAAAACGGTTTTTCTGATTTTCTCAGAGTTCTTGATTTTATGTAGTTAATGAACTTTCGAAGTGTTTTTACTTAGATTCTAGTGCTCTCTCTCTCAATGTGTCATGACTGAAAGTTTTCATGTAGATGTTTACTTGGTCGTGATAGAAGTTGTTTGTTCGATTGATTTGTTTGTATTTTCCATGAAAAGGCAAAAACATCAGGAAATGATTCAAGTTTTCAAGCCATACAAGCCGAATTTCTAGCCATATGTATGTATATATATATATTAATTTCCTTTTTTTTTTTTGGGGGTTCAGCCTAATGCAGAACTGGAAAAAATGTTGGCAGACTTTTATTCCCCCGCGCAGCAAACACTGGATTACAAAATATTCTCCCCTTCAAACTCACAGATTCAATCGGAGCTTGGAAATCCATACGAGTATGGCTTCTTTACTGGTGACATCATCAACAATGGCCAGCAAAATATCCCTTTTCAGTATGGATCTAATAATGTCACGGCCGATATTACCGATTTCTTGAACTCGGTTCTAATTGATCCTGAGGATCAGGGTTTCGAGCAAAGCTTCTCTAAGTCGACTCTTCAGAGTCCTAAGTACATCAATGTGCTCCAGTCGGTTAATGAAAGTAACCCAAGCTGTGAATCAGAGGATGAGGTGTGCTCGGATCAGGTAAATGGAGCTATCTTGTTTTCGCAGGAAAAGAAAAATGTGATTTTCTGCTTCTAATATATAAAAATATTGTATGTACCAAAATCAAGAGGGTTATTTTGCCATTTGAAAACGAATATGCGTCTATGGACAGGACAAATGCAAATTTATGTCTAGAGGAGTTGAGAAAAACAAATAAAGTCCTGTTTGGTACTGGTTGGAGCAATTTTTTTTTCAGTTTTTGCTTTTCTTGTGTTTTGGAATTTGCCTTTCCTCCCTAAAGAAAAATAAAAAACATTTTTTTATTTGACTCGAGTAAATGTTAAATGACTCTAGTTTTAATGAACCGTTAGGTGATTGAGGAAAATAGCAAGCAAAATGGTTTCGGCTCGGGAATTGCTATGATAACTCGCCGAAATTTCAATCAACCCACTGTACAGAACTTGACAGACCATGGAACTGCACCGAAAAGAATTCGCCTGCAGAAGAAACTTCAAGTGGGGCCCGTCTATCACAGCCTTCATAAGAAGTCGAGTGATTGTAAAATGACGAACTATGAACCAGACTCTACTGAGGTGAGATTTTTTTTCTCGTTAAGAAAATTGAACTTTTTTTTTTCTGTGCAGAAATCTGAGTACTCTACCTATCTATCATGATGATTTCAGTTCAATCAAACGATAAACCAAAAACTTGAATATCGCCCCATGAGAGTATCAAATACCACATTGTTTGGGTGGGAGTATTAACTATTAACACAAAATTGGTGATATTGATTTACATTCTCAGAATCTCAAGGAATCTCTAAATCAATCGAGTGATTGTTTGTGCAGGACAATAAAGTAGCCGAGGTACATAATCCAGACGAATTAAAGAAATTGAGCTCTGAGGAGTCAAATAAATCGAGCTCTGGGACCACATGTAATAAACTACTCATGGCCATTAGTCTCACAACCGTGCTAATTTCTATATTGGGTTATTTCGTGTTTTGAATTGACTGTAGAAGGAACTATATTTCTTTTTTTGTTTGTATAGGACTTTTTGTCGACTGTTTTCTAGTTTTGATAGGTTTAACACCAGCCTCTAGGACTGTAAGTTTGCCTTCTTTTTCTTTTTTCTGAGTTTTTTGTGCACAGAGATGATATGGCCTATTTGTTATTTATGATGCAGACAAAATAAATGGTTTCTGTATATTAGTGTTGATTTTGATTAGGAGAACTTACTATGGTGATTTTTGTATATTTTTGAAGTGGCTTGTTGAGATATTTCTCTCTCTCTCTCTCTCTCTCTCTCTCAACACGAATGCATCAAATGAACTAAAGAATGCACTTGATGGTGGTGTTGTATGATTTTGATTTTGTAACATAGAAAAAATATTACTCTTAAAAAATAAAACAGATGACTACTCAAACAGTCAACCTCAGGATTTGTCGTTTGAGGATTCATAATTATAAAGCAACAAAAATTAACATATATAATCACGGTAACACTATAAATTTACAGATGAAATTTATGAAAAACAAAACAATAAATTTAGCCTCGACGTGCTCTCAATTTATATACTGAGAGTTTGAGACTTTGAGAGTAATGATGATATGATGAAAGATAAATTACGAATCATAAAAAATGAACATTTAACATTGAATAACAAAATATTATACTTTTAATTTATATATTGAGAGTATTGATATAATAAAATTAAATTTACAATCACAAAAAGTTAACATTTACCATCAAAGTCTTAATTAAACGAGGGAAACACAAAAGGATATTACGAGAGGTAAACATTAAACAAGTGTACTAGCTCAACAAAAATGAAAAAAAAAATAGTAAGTGGAAAATATCTTAATTATATAAAATTCTAAACCAAAACAAAAATAACGTTGGGGTGAGAGAGGCTCGAACTCTCGACCTCAGGATTTCTCTTAAAGCTATGAGACCTACGCGCTAGCCAACTGCGCCACCACCCCTTGATCGTTAACCTCAAGAGGTAACCTTATATTCGAATAATCCACTAATGGACTCGTCGGTCGGCCCTCAAAAGCGTACGGAGCGAAAATGAAAGAGGGCAGGGCAGAATAATGTTTTCAAAGTCCACGCTATTCGTTTTGCTTATACTGATCATCACCAGCACAGCAAAAACTCCAGCCCAAGTGACAATTTTCGATGAAGAATCTGCAAAGGAGATTCTCAGCTCGGCCCACAAAGAAAAAGATTGGCTTATCTCGATAAGGAGGAAAATCCACGAGAACCCAGAGCTTAGATTCCAAGAATTCAACACCAGTGTCCTCATTCGCGGTCAGCTCGATGACCTCGGGATTTACTATGAGCATCCATTTGCTGAAACGGGTTTGGTTGCTCAAATCGGGTCGGGTTCACCGCCGGTTGTTGCCCTGCGTGCTGATATGGATGCTCTCCCCTTGCAGGTCTTATCTTTTGCCCTTTTGGCATATTGGGATTTTTTTTTCTTGTGCTGTATGAAGAAAAATGGAAGCTTATTTAGCTGATGAATTTGATGTGTAAAGTTTAGATTTTTATGTATTTCTACTACTTTTCTTTGGATGGCAGATGGTTGACTTTTCATATGTATATCAGTATATGAAGATAGGGTGAATTTCACCCTGCCGGTGTACTTATCGGGTTTCAAACCATTGGATCAACACACACCCACATGAGTATGTGTGTGTGTGTGTTTGATCGACGGCTTGGAAGTTGGAACCCGGTTTGGGCACTAGGGTCGAATTAGCCGTTCAAAATGGTCTTTGTTTCGGTTTATTGTTTTAACTGTAATAAATATTTGTCGATAAATAGGAGCTGGTGAATTGGGAGCATAAGAGTAAATCTGATGGTGTAATGCATGGATGTGGGCATGATGCACATACCACAATGCTTCTTGGTGCTGCTAAGTTGCTCAATGAAAGGAAGGACAAATTTAAGGTTGATTTTGGTTACTTGTGTTGGGGGGATGTTGAACTTTTTTACTTGAATCTTGAGTGTTATGCTTTTATGTTGTTCTTGGTTGGTTTGCTTTCACGTAGTTTATCATGTTGTTTTTCGTAAATCAGTGAGGTATATTGTTTGACAGACTTGTTTGTGAGATTTCTGCTAGGATAAATTGACTACTTGACTTATTGGCTGTGGTTCTTGAAATTGACTTAAGTTATATCCCGGTAAATTTTTTCTTTTTTCGTAATTTTGAGAAAATTATGATGTTGGATTTGTAAATGACTAATATATAGTTGGAATATATTGGATCCAAACCAATATATGATCCCTTTCTCTGCAAAAATTGCCTTGCTTTGTCACTTCATCTTTCAACAAGTTAATGAAGTAACATAGTACTCAAAACAAGAGGGTGAATTAGAATATGCAGTTCCTCATAAAAAAAAAATAAAAAAATCCTAATAATAATAATAATAATAGTATATATATTTTTTTCTTGATGGAATGATAATCTATTGGTTAATATCATCAAGGGAACTGTAAGGCTTCTATTTCAACCTGCTGAGGAAGGTGGTGCCGGTGCATCATACATGATAAAACAAGGCGCTCTTGGCAAATCGGAGGCTATTTTCGGAATTCACGTCGATTTTCAAGGGCCCACCGGAAGCATAGCAAGTCTTGCGGGGCCCGTTTTAGCCGCCGTAAGCTTTTTCGAGGTCAAAATAATCGGGAAAGGCGGGCATGCGGCCGAACCTCACAATGGGGTCGACCCAATTCTTGCTTCATCTTTTGCAATCTTGGCATTGCAACAGCTCGTTTCAAGAGAAGTCGATCCACTCAGTAGTCAAGTATGTATTGTATGTCTCTATAAACACGTTTTCGTGTGGGTATTTTGGTAATTTTGAAAGTTATAAAATTGAGTTAGATTGAGAAAGGAAAAAAAACGAGGATTTGTAATGTTTAGTGTTTCGAGTTACGAATGTAGGTGCTTTCTGTGACGTATGTGCGAGGTGGGACCGCAGCAAATGCAATACCCGAGTATGTTGAATTTGGAGGTACTCTCAGGAGCCTTACAACTGAAGGACTGATTCAACTCCAGAAGAGAGTGAAAGAGGTATTTATTTATGTATAGCAGTTCTTAATTCAGTCGTAATTTGTAATTTTGTCGAATATATATAATAAACCTGTGTTCTTCTGATTTCCTTGATCTAAAATTCATAAGCTTCTTGCAGGGAACGACAGTTTTCGAATTTTTTTTTTTTTTTAGTTTTCCAATGTGGATAATTATACATACTAATTTTAAGGTTTAGCTTAATACCAATCAAAACTAGATTTAAAGATATTATGAACATCTATGAGTGTGTTTATTAAGCACCATAAGCTAGCTTATTTATATATCTTTTAAATTTTCTGTGTACAAATAAACTTGGTTTGGTAGGACGAATTTTTTTAGAAAGTTCGAGCTGATAAACTTCTTTGGGTAACTTTTTTATTTCAACTTGCTTATCAGCTAATTTTACCAAACACATTATCGTATCACCTATTTTTTAAGCCATAAGCCGTAAGCTATCAGCTATAAGCTTGAAATTCACTTATAAGCTATCAGCTATCACTTATCTTATCAACTAGTTTTACCAAACATATCTCTCACACATTTTGTGAAATCAGTACAAACTGGACTTCCCTTTTCTTCTGTAATTTTAAAAATTTAACTGGGATTCTTTCATTGATTTTCTTTTAGTCTGTAAGTGAAATATAGTAAATATCATAATTTTACCCCTCATTTTTGTTTGCAGGTCATTGAGGGTCAGGCAAGCGTGCACAGATGCAAAGCACACGTCAGCATGAAAGAAGACGATTTCCCTCCATATCCAGCAACCGTGAATGATAAAAAGCTGCACGAGCACGTGAGGACAGTTGGCAGCCTCCTATTGGGCTCCGAAAACGTGAGGGAGGCTAAAAAGGTGATGGCTGGGGAAGACTTTGCCTTTTACCAGCAAGTCATCCCTGGAGTTATGTTTGGAATTGGTATTAGAAACGAGAAAATCGGGGCCATTCATCCTCCCCACTCGCCGTATTTTTTTCTGGACGAAAATTCCCTTCCTGTGGGGGCTGCTTTGTACGCGGCTCTTGCCGAGTCTTATCTGATGGGCCGTTCGGATATTACTGTCGATATCTAACTTGTGCTTCTGATTGTTTTTGAAGTTTGGTACAAATGGTTTGGATATTTGTTTCTGTTTAACAAGTTGCAGGCACCTAGCAGCTCTTTCTCTTGCAAGAATTTATCCGTTTTATGCTTCTAACCAACTTTTGAGCTACTTCGAATTTATCTGTGTATGATTCTATTAAATTTGAATGAAGATACGTGATCGAGCACGATGGCGACATGCGATCCATATAATCGAGCCCACGTAGTAGGATTTTACCAGCTCGTTGATTGATTGACTGATCTGTTTATGATTCTAACCAACTTTTGAGCTACTTAAATTTTGATTTTGAGCTACAAAAACTCATTTATTGCCACATAAACAATTTTGAAGTAATTTCTCATTCAATGGATATTTATTTTCTAGTTGCAATTGAATCAATGAATTTTTTTTTTATTCGTTTTTGTTCAGTCAAGATTTATCTTATTGAAACTAATAAAAATGAAATAAATGTTTTTCATAAAATTACTATTCATTTCATCTCATTCAATCACTACAATAACACTAACGAAATAAAAAAATATTTATTATTGTATATTATTCAATAAAAAGTACTATTAATCCGCTTCACATATTTTTAACTTACAACCTTATCAATTAATTTGTCATTATTTTTATATTATCAATTAATTTATATCACATCAACTTTAATCATTATATTTTTACCTCATATTCATTCACATTGCTCATTATATATTTAAAATATGTTAACCTTTTTCAAAAATATATTTTTTTGTCACTTTTTCATCTCAATTTCTAGACAAAAAAAATAAAATCGAAGAAATTACATATCCCATTGCTCATGTTTTCCACTTGTAAAAAACTGATAATTCAAAACCAATTTTCTTACATATACATTATATTTTATAATTCACTTCTGCAAAGAAAATTCGAATGGTAATACATAATATAGAGGCATCAATTTTAATTTATGTCTTTTCTTTATTTCTTAATGAGAAAAAATCGAATCATGCAAAACTACAACATAAAGTTTACGGAATTTTTTTTAACCTCTCAAACTATGCCGATTTTTAAAATTTGCCTTACGAACTTTTTTTTCTTGACAATCTGTCTCCCATAGTAATCGAAATTAACAATTTGCCTCCTCGATTGGAAATCCTAATATGGCACAAAAAAGTTTTTAACTCAATTAACGATAAATTTGAAATTGATCTTTAAATTTAATTTAGGGTTTTTAAAGCTCATGGCGAGACGAACAAAATGAAGTATGATTTGTTGATTTATGAAAATTGATACCTCTGTAATCGATCGACGAATATAGCAGAAACACGTATATATAGAAAACAATTCCAGTTCAAGTTTTCTGATAATCAAGGTATCCTATTTTCGATTAAAATGTGTCATTTGAAAGCTGAGAAGACGAGTTTTCTAACGAAGTAAATCTTATGAAAATCCAACAGTTAGATTTTGTTTAGTAGCCTAAAAAATTACTAACTATTGATCAGTAGTTAGAAACTACTTATCAAAATCCGATCGTTGGATTTTCATAAGATTTACGCATTAGATAATTGGTCTTGCAAATTTTTAAATGACATTCCAATCGAAAATTGGATATCTTGATTATCGAATTGAATTTTTTTCTATACACACGTGTTCTTAATATCTTAGTCGATCGATTATAGATGTATCAATTTTAAAAATCTACAAACTATACCTCATTTTGTTCGTCTCACCATGGACTTTAAAAGTTCTAAATTAATTTTAAAGATCAATTTAAAATTTATCATTAATTGAGTTAAAAAAATTTTGTGCAATATTACGGTTTTCAATCAAAGAGGCAAATTGTTAGTATTAATTAATATGAGAGGTAAATTATATATTAAAAAAAAAAATTAGTAAGACAAACTCTAAAAATCATCATATTTAAAAAAAAAAAATTCCATAAAATTTACCTCGCCAGAAGCCAAAAACAGTACTATAGTTTAACACGAAAACCACGCTGCACAGTTCTCAATACTTGCTGTCGGATAAGAGAGACGAAGACAACAGACGAACTTCTTGTGGATTTCATCTCTGTTCTCCTTATCTTTCTCAGGTATAATCCATTTTTTCCCTTTTATGATTTCCCCCTTTTCTTGTTCGTATATCCGTTCAACTATGATCAATCAATTATCGAAAAATATGTAAATTTTCTGNTTTTTTTTTTTTTTTTTAAATTATCAGACCATCAGTAGTAAAATTCCGGCCACTGAGCGAAAATGATGGGTTTTAGCCCTATGGGTAGCGGCGCCGGAGCAAATTCATCATCGTCTACATCAAATTTATCAGCCCTAGCACCTCCATTCACTGTAGATAGATCAAATCCTAAGCTCAATTCAAACCCTAATTTGCCTTACCACGACTCGCCTTACACGGCCGAACCCTATAGCCACGGGTGGGAATATTCAATCCCTTCGGCCCCAATTGTTTTAGAATCCACTGGATTGGCCAGCGTGCCTTTACCCGATGACCACCGATTTTCAGCCGCCACAACTGTTAGTCCCACTATTACCCATTGGTCCACTTTTAGCCGGGTTGATAAAGCCTCGACTAGTGCCTCTTATGGTGATGTTAAGCCCTATTATTCGCCCTATGTTCCTCGTCTGGTTGGAGACGAAAGCCCATTGGTTGAGGTGGATGTGACTTGTTACAATAAAGGTCCCACATCTCAGATTGATTATACTCGGGGTGTGTGGGATGTGGATTATGAGGCTGGATGGGCTGGCAATTTGGGACTTAACGATGGTAAGCGGGCTAATAGAGTGGAAATTGAGGGGAGTTTCTTTGAGAAATCAAATATTGGAGACTTGCAAAGTTATGGGCATCAGTTGAATCAAGGTGCGTTTGTTGATTATTTGAAGTATGTTTGCTAGTTCTCTGAAGTATGTGATTTTTGATGACATTATTTATTGAGGATGCTAGAATGTTAAACTGCATCATTGGAGTCCATAAGGTGTAAGGCAGTATATTAAAAAGGTATACTGGATATCGATTTTGAATTTATCTAAGTTCTTGCTAATATCTCCAATTAGCCTGTGAATTATAACTATGCTTCCTTTTTTTTTTATGCATACATTGATTGATCATTGATACACCACCCCTTTGATTATGTGAGCAGCTTGTGTCTGTCTATGTTTCCCATGTAACTTGTTTTGCTTTAATCAGGATGGTTGGACACTGAAAAGAACGAGAAAGTATCTAAAGAAGGTTCTTATGGTATTTCGAATCAAATATTCAACCAGGTGCCTGACACAGGAATTCATTGTGGAAATTCAGTTGTTACTCAAACGAAAGACAACTTATGTCACGAGCAGAATCTTGGCTTCTTTCCCTATGATTCAAACAAATCACTTACCTCAGCCTACAAATCAACCTACCGTGAATCTCAGGAACTGGCAGTGCACAAGAATTCCTTAGACGATCAGAACTCATCTACTAAGTGTAGAAAAACTGTTGATAAGCCCTTTATTGGCCATGTATCATCAAATATGCGTTCCTCTGCAGGTGTCATTAGGCTGCCACCTGCTAATAATGGTTACATTAAGCAGTGCACTTTTGCCCGTAAATCCACTCAATGCGACAGTGACGAAAGTGTTCGGATTGCAAATTTCGGATCAATATCTGATTCCCAGTTAAAAGAGGGCTCATCTGAAACGAGCCTTTTCGGCATTTCCAATGAAGGGAATTTCCTTACTCCACTAAAAGAACTTTCGATTCCACTGCAGTCTAGCGATTCTCTTGATCGTACGTGTAGGGCTGGATTTGGGTCTCAATCACATGATGAAAGTATCTATGGTGGGTTTAATATGGCTGGTGGTAATAGTGTTCAAACAGTAAAGTCTAATGAAAATTCTTTGGATTTTGTTGTGGATTCACCTTGTTGGAAAGGCACTTCATGTTCTCAATTTTCAACATTCGATATCGAAGCTGGGAACTCGAATAATTTTAAAAAGAAATTGGACGGATACTATGAGTCCAATCATGAAGCGCAGCAGAAGAATCTCGACTCGGTCATTGATATCGATCGAACCTTTTTCGGGAAAGCTAGTGAAAGCAACAGTAACATTGGGAAAAATGAATCTGATACTCATTGTTCAAGTAAAGATAATAGTTTATTGGGTGATGGAAAATGCAGAGGTTGGGTTGCAAAAGAAAACGAGACACTGAATGAACCCAATATGCCAAGAAAACAATCTGTCCTTGCAAAAGACTTGGCGGGTGAGTTTGATGCGAAAACTCCTGATGCCAAGCACTTAATTGATAAAGTTGCTAAAACGATTTCTCTAAATGATGTCACTGAAGGCGGTTTTGTTGCTGTTCATGCTGCCGAGAAAGTTCTAGCATCGCCTGCTTCTCAAGAAGATGCGAACGAGCGCATTAAAGAAACCGATTGGAAATTGCATGTGCCAACAGTGTTAAAGGCAATGCATAACCTTTCCGAGTTGCTTATGTTTCATCTTTCTGGTGAGTCATGCTCTCTGGAGAAAGAAAACATAGAGACTCTCGAGAACACAATCAGCAACCTTAATTCCTGTCTGCATAGTAAAATCACTGAGGCATCTAAGAAGCCGAAATTAAACAATCCTGTTCGAAACAGTTCTGGCAAACTTTTGGAGTCTCGTAATATGGTATGATTCTTTTGTTGATATACGTAGTACGAAAGATGACTCATGGCTTACGTCTTATTGGATTTATTTATATGAAAACTTGATATAAGGCTTTTTTTTTTTTCTTTGCCAACGTTCTGGTTATCTCTACTGGTTTTGGCTAATGTCCCTACAAAGCCTGGTGTTGGGTGTTTCTAACAAATTTTTCATTTTGATATTCGCCGCTGTAGAAAAATGCTGAATCTTAAGTCATAAGTGTGACGGGAAGGGGATGAAAATAAATAGCGGAAGTTAGTGTTATATAAAAGTAGTATAATGATTGAATTTGGTCGGTGACTGGAAATGTGAGTGATAGGGAAATTTGACTGGAAGTACCATAAAGTTTATGGTTGATTTCCTATGTTTAGAAAACCCATCTCATTTTTCATGTGCAGATTCTTCTAGTAGGTTGTTTTTGGAAGAAGAAATTACTGTTTTTTCTTTTCCCTAGCACTCTGCAAATATTTTTGTCTGCAGAGCACAGTTATAGGAAGTCCTCGTACAATAAATTGAATCTCCATATTTATTCTAATATAAAGCTTGATTATCAGCACACGCTTGAGCATGAAGGAAATAACAGTTATTTTGGTAAGAAGGATGAGAAATCACCAATTTTATCGCCCTTGATGGATGGCATAGACATGTCAAGTGATGACAGTATGACCAAGGTACGTGCTTTCTGGTCTATGCTGCAAAATCACATAAACTCTTAACATCGGAAAATTGAAGCTGTGTGTTCTTGAAAGTTATAGCCTGACATCCTATTTGTCTGTTGCCATCTTCCAGGCTATAAAAAAGGTCCTCGAGGAGAATTTCCTCTTAAATGAAGAAATTCACTCAGAAGCACTTCTATTTAAGAATTTGTGGCTTGATGCGGAAGCTAAACTGTGTTCCATCAGTTACAAAGCTCGTTTTGACAGAATGAAGATTCAGATGGAGCAGATTAGAATCAAGGGCTCACAAGGTTAGAATGTTAGATTTAAAATTGTAAAACGAAACAAATTCAGTGAATAAAACCATGGGGGGCATTTATGTAATTATGTATTAACAAGCATTGCATCCCTGATCTGTGAATGTTCTCAGACAATGAGGATTGTGAAGGAATCTCATCTGATGAGGTTAGCATTTCACCGGCTGACATCACAGCTTCTGAAGTGGGCCCCAAAGGGCCGCATGATGACCAAATCGTCCCTAAGCCCGCTCTTCAGGACATTCCTGCTTCTAGCACAGGTGGGCCCACCGATGACGTGGACGCTTCTGTCTTGGCAAGGTTCAATATCCTAAAATCCCGAGAAGAAAATGCAAAGCCTAATAAGGGTTTCAGTGGCGAGCAAAATGAAGACCCTATTGTGGCCAGCTTGAAATTACGCGAGGAGAATTTCGGAAAATTGATGGGCATGGAAGAATATGAGAATCAACCACGATCAAGTGAGATGAACGATGCGTGTGAGAATACGAGTCTGCATGAATTTCATCATTCGGTCACTAATAATGATCCAACAGTTCATTCGTGTAGGAATAACTTGGGTAGGCGTGATAGTTCGTCTTCGGATTGGGAACATGTGCTGAAGGATGATTTCTCGTGTAGAACATGTGCTGAAGGATGATTTTTTGTGGAAAATTTGCACAAAAGCTACCCTCGAAAAACACTAACTTTGAAAAATTACAAAAAAAAATATCTTGATTTAATTTTATATATACGTCTAACACTCACAACTTTCTCCTTTTGGGAGTATAATTGCACTAGGGCAATTTGATTAAAAATGCACACTTTTTTTTTTGGTGTGGAAAAACAGCACAAAAGTTACCCTCGAAAAACACCATCTTTGAAAAATATAAAATTAATTCTTGATTTAATTTATATATACGTCTAACATTTTTTTTTTGCTTCACCGGGGCCCACACAATCGGTCGGGTTTCATTGCACATCATTCTCGGATCGGGTCAAACAATTTTAGTCCAACGAGTAGTTATTTTGTAACATGCATATATCCCTTTAATGAGTCGACTTTACAAAATACTTAATTTTTTAATAATAAAAAAAAGCGTCAAATACCAGTTGGTTTTTGTTAATACACAATTGATGTGGATATTTGCTATTTTCAAAAGGTAACAAGAGTCTTTCTATGCAAAATTATTATGTCGAATTTCAATATTGCTGTGTTGGTTATACTTATGATCATTTACTATTCACACTCATGTTAGTACGGTTTCGTGATTATTTTATTAATTTGAATATTAACGTCTACTCTTACGCTAGCACACACCAAAATCTCAAACTCGCACCAATTTACGCACACAAATACGGATGTGTGTGAAATAGATAAAATAAAATAAAGTGATATACATTAGCATTTAACCTAATATAGTCATAACTTTGCCAATCGAAAATATAATTACAGGTGTGAGGAGTTCGAGTTAAACCTATGTGACAATTACATGCTTCATTGTTTGGCTTGGATAGATCGTAATTTAGTTTGAATTCAAAAATAATTAAGTTGGGATTATTCATAAATATATTGATTATTTATGGTTTTGTTACATGTATTAAATGCATTTTAATATCATTTTTTATTATAACAATTGAATTGTAAATATATTTTAAAAGTTAATAATTTTTGTATTTTGTATCCGTTTTACATATCTAATACTACCTTTCGCCTTATGATTATGTAAAATGTCACAATTCAAAACGTGGCCTCCCTTTAATCATTCATCATCTACTCGAGTATGCCAAACGAATTGAACAAGCCAGATTGAGTTTCGTGTATATATACAGATGATCTTTGGAATGAAACCAAACCACAACACTCTTTAACAACATCATATATAGAAAACAGAGAATATATATAGTTTGTTAAAATGAGTTGTAAGCTGATTAAAGCTCTTATTCCATTGCAATTTGTGCTTTTCTTTGTGTGCCTTTCGAAGTCGTCTCGTGCGCTACAGGAATCATTTTATGAAAAAAAATGTCCAGGTGTCAACGTGGTGTCTATTGTAAAGGAGGAAGTTACGAGTGAGTACAACAATAAGGATCAATTTATTGCTTCTGCTTTACTAAGATTGCATTTTCACGACTGTTTTGTCCGGGTAAGGCCATCACATTTTAACTCCAACACTAATCGATGGTGATATATATTAAATAATAACTTCAATTTTTCTTTTTCTTTTTTTTTTTTCGGCAGGGCTGTGATGGCTCGATCTTGCTAGACTCGACTCCAGGTAAGCTGGCCGAAAAAGACGCGCCACCAAATAATCCGAGCCTCAGAAAGAAGGCATTCGCCTTAATCGACAGAATTAAGGGTAGACTTGAATCCCTATGCCCAGGTGTCGTCTCGTGCGCTGATATACTTGCGTTTGCAGCCCGGGAAAGTGTCTTGTTGGTATGACATTCGAAATTAATTTATCAGGCACTTTTTTTACTTAATATGCCCTTAATTTGCATATTTCATCAACTCACTCGTGTCTACTTATAACCAACTTTTGTTCTAACATGGCTAGAACTAACTAGTGATATTGTTAAATCAGTTCACCTCGGCTCGACTTGTTGAGACTCAAAAATAAGAATTTTTATAGTTTGGCTCGTTAATGTTTATAAACAAGCCGGGCTCGAGCTCGCGAGGTCGATTACTGGCTTGTTAAAGACTCGAGCTCATCTCTGCTCGTTTACACCCCTAGCTGGAAGTCATATTCCGGACCAAATGATTATTAATTTCACTCAATTTTTCTTGTTCGGTAGTATTGTGTCCGTGATTTCCTTTTCTTCCTAATAATTTTTTTTTTCTTGTCCTGAAATAAAGGCCGGCGGGCCTGTGTATTATTTAGAGGGCGGAAGGAATGACGGCAGAATCTCGAATGCTACGGAGGCTACGCAGAACTTGCCAAAGCCGCAGTCTAACTACAAAACCCTCACCGAGGCCTTTGTAAGAAAGGGCTTACAGAACAAGACATGACTGCTCTTTCAGGTAAACATAATAGATGAAACTTGAAAATGACCTACTTTTTAAATCAAAGGTAACTAAAAATACGACATTCCAGTAGTACAAGTATACATAAATATATGTATATGTATATATACACATACAGAGCTGGTTCAAATAAAAATTTAATCCTAGTGTGAGAAGCATATTAATTTGATATTATTTTTAGTTGTGTGTGATACCATTTTTAATATTATACGGTGCTACCATTTTTAAAAATGCTAATATAAATTGTGTTGCTAATTTTAATAACATACATCTTGGTTAAAAATAGCATCAAAATAAAATCAATCATATCACTATATACAATTAAAAATAGCGGTTCTCACGGTTCTCATACTAGAACTTGGTTCTCATTTGAACCACATCCTATCATATATATATTTTAAATGAGAATGTGGTTTAAATGAGAACCAAGTTCTAGTATGAGAACCGTGAGAACCACTATTTTTAATTGTATGTAGTGCTATGATTAATTGTGTTTTAGTGCTATTTTTAACTAGGATGTATTTGATTAAAAATAGCAACAAAATTTTTATTAGCATTTATGAAAATGATAGCACCATGTAATATTAAAAATAGCATCATACACAATTAAAAATAGCATCAAATATGGTTATCACGGTTCTCACACCAGACATAGTTTTTATTTGAACCAGCCCCTATATATATATATATATATATATATATATATATGTATGTGTGTGTGTGCGCTTTTTTCTATTCATGATCAACTAGCCTAACGATCAGACCTGAACCCGTGCATATACGCAGGAGCACACACAATCGGGCAGGCCAACTGCAACTCCTTCAAAAACCGGCTTCCCCAGAACGGGACGGCCGACCCGAGTTTGAATAAATCGTCTGCAGACTTTTTGCGGGGATATTGTAAGCGGGTCCCACAACCACTAGTGAACATGGACGACACCCCAAACGCATTCGATACCAAATATTACGAATACGTCCTCGAAGGCAAAGTCGTGCTATCCTCTGACAATGCCCTGCTTAATAACAAAGATTCACGGTCGCGAGTGAAACAATATAATGAATCGAGCAACAAATGGTTCCAAGACTTTGCGAAAGCTATGGAGAAAATGGCGAAGCTTTCAGATACGGATCCGAATAATCCTGGTGAGATTCGAAAACAATGCAGATACATTAACTGACGGTGGTGATAAAGGCGTCAGCTCAAATCGAAATCGAAATGTGTTCTGAATAAAAAACATATGTAGTTCCTTTTTTTCTTTTTTATTTCTGGTTCTTGTTTCGTGTGTGCTTTTCTTCTGTCGATCGTGTGTTTCGAATTTGGATGCAACAGTCGTTATAATGTGTATTTTGAAAAAATCGACTAATTTGAATTACCGCAGATGCTGATATACATAATCATAGTACGAATGTTTATTGTTTATGATGTTTTTAAGATATTCCGTTTGGGTTATGAAATTATGTAAGTCCTTTTAGAACTTTAGTTGTTTCAGGTTTCACTACTACGAATCCCGTGCGATGCAAAGGGCACGATGCACGGGTAAGAGATATTCGTTAATATTTATGAATTAAAAATTCTCATTACCTAAAAGGCCCTTGATTTACACACGAACACACACACCCACATGGGTGTGTGTGAAATCAAGGGTCCCTAGGGGCTGACTGCAATGCCCCTAGGGGCAACTTCGAATTCCCGTGGCTATTGTATGTTATATTCCCGTGGCTATTGTATGCTAATGGCTTTAGTGATTTTGCACTGCCTTTTGCAAGGTTACCATAAAAAAATATTTATGCTATTATTAGTTATTTTATCTTACGAATTTCCAGATGTTTTCTTTTAACCATCATTATTATACGTGTATTTGGATGATTGGTAAGAATGAATGACATAAGAATGGAATGATCATTCCCTTACTCATTCCTTATCCCATGATTGATATATTTTTTTTTTTGAAAAGAATGACCATTCCAATAGGAATAACAAAACTCATCTCCATGAGATTAGTCATTCCATAGTAAATGGAAGGTTTTCTTATTCTCATGTTTATTCCTTTCTAAATTTTAAAAATTGAATGGTAATCATGATTTCCCTAAATTTTCAAATGAGTAAATGATTAACTTTTTTTAAAAAAATTAGTAGTTGATGGTGTTCATATACACAAATGAAAAAAAATGTATATATTATACATTATCTGTATTTGTATAATATTTAAATATAAAAATTAGATAATGAGTATATCACATTTTAAAATTTTGACAATTATTAGAAATGAATATTATAAATATAAATTGTATAATTTACACATGAATCACAACAGTTATGATAATAATTATAATAAATAATATAATTTTCATGATTTTGAAAAATTGTGACAAACTAATTGGTTGGGCTCGGGATCGGTGAATAATGGTTGTTTAGTTAACGAGTCAGAGTCAAAATAGACTAGTTAAAAATTTAAGGTCAAGTTTGAGGCAGGGGCGAATTAGAATCAAGGGCTCCCAAGGTTAGAATGTTAGATTAACATTGTAAAATGTAACAAATGGGGGTATTTATGTAATTAAGTATTAACATGTTGCTTGCATCCCTGATCTGTGAATGTTCTCAGACAATGAGGATTGTGAAGGAATCTCATCTGATGAGGTTAGCATTTCACCGGCTGACATCACTGCTTCTGAAGTGGGCCCCGAAGGGCCGCATGATGACCAAATCATCCCTAAGCCCGCTATGGTTCCATTTGTTTCAATAAGTTAAAATGTGGTACTAAGAGTGTTGGGATAAAAACATATTGCATCATTTTCTATGTCTCTAAGGTGAAAGTGTGGTACTAATAAGAGTCGTAAGGAAAAACATATTGCATCCCTTGCAATTGGAACAAGTATACTACAAAAAAAAAAACTGCATTTGGCGACGCTTCTTTTTTTGTTTAATGACGCTTATTGGCGAGTTGTGTTGCTAAATTTGATGTCAGAAAAAAATAAGCGTCAGTAAACAAAAAAATAAGCGTCGCCAAATGCAGTTTTTCTTGTAGTATCATTCATCCAAGAAAATGAAACATAGATTGAAGCGAGTAAATTGGAGGAACATGGTTCTGGAAAAGCAAATTCAATCTCATTTTTTGAGAAAATGAAACATAAATTGAAACTAGAAAATGAATCATAAATTGGAGGAACATGGTTCTGGAAAAGCAAATTCAGTCTTTTTTTTTGCTACGTAAAGGCTATGTTTGGTAGATAAAAAAACTAACTCATAGTTTATTTGATTAGCTTATTATAAACTCCCTGTATTCAAATAAACTCCGTTTGAGAGGAGGAGCTTTTTTACAAAGCTCGAGCTTATTTGACAAGCTTCTTTGGTTACCTTTTCAAATAAGCTCGTTGAATTTTTTATTTCAGCTAGTTTATCAGTTAATTATACCAAACACTTTTATGCTAGCTTTTCAACTATATGTCATAAGTTATAAGGTATAAGTTCGAAAATTACTGATAAGTTATAAGCTAGCTTATCAACTATCAACGAGCTTATCAGTTAGTTTTACCAAACATAGCCAAATAATAATTTTTTGTAATTCTTGGCATTAAAAAGATAAATTTTGCTTTGGGGATAATATGGATTGACACAAGTTGTTTAACTTTTAATTCGAATTGAAACCATACAACGGGCATCTTTTAACTTTGTGTTGGTGTTGTATTTAGGGGTGTTGAAGGTCCAGATTGGTCCGATTTTAGTCCAAACTATGACCAAACTGGATCTAACGGTTAATTTTTTTCTTGTTCATAACCGGACCGGTTTTATTTTTTAACCGACCACAATCCAGACCGCATTGGACGGTCCGGTTTGGCGGTTAACCGGTTAAATTCAAAATCCTTGTTCTGGCCCTTCATTTTTTTTTTCATTTTGGACTTAATTTTTATTTTTCAATTTTGGGCCCAAAAGAAATTATTTGGGCCTAAAAATTAAGTAAAAACAACAATAATAAAATAAAAAATATACAATTCATCCCATAAGCATAAAAATACACATTTTCGTCCCATAAACATAAAAATACAAAAATGATGAAGATTAAATTATGCAAACTGAACCCAAGAAAGAATTCATTTTTCAGTCAGTTTATACACCTAAAATAATAAGAGCAAAGCATTCATAGTGAATGTATTGTATTTATCGACCATGGTGAATGACTGAATGTNCCCCTAGTTGTATTAGGGCAATTTAAACATGTGAAAATAATCTAAACAACTTTCTTCTTTGGGATTATAATCGCACTAGACTAGGACAATTTAATTTAAAATGCACAATTTTGTCTTACGTGGAAAAATTGAACAGAAGTTACCTCGAAAAACGCCAACTTCGAAAAATTACACAAAATAATTCTTGATTTAATTTATATATATGTCCAACTCTACACAACTTTCTCCTTTTGGGATATAATTGCACTAAGGCAATTTGATTAAAAATGCACACCTTTTTTTTGGTGTGGAAAAATAGCACAAAAGTTACCCACGAAAAACACCATTTTTGAAAATATAAAAAATAATTCTTGATTAAAAACTTATATATATGTCTAACATTTTTGTGTTTCACCGGGCCCCACACAATCGATTGGATCTCACTGCACATCATTCTCGGATCAGGATTCAGGTCGTACAATTTTAGTCCGACGAGCATCCAAGATCCGACCATAGACTTCAGGGTCAAGTCAGGTTGGTCGACCCGTAAAAAAGTATTATTGATGTTCATTAGTTACAGAGTTTACACTTTACGGGGATGATTACTTTTTTATTTTATTTTTTTACAGGGATGATTAATTTGTGATGACGAGAATACGCATTTTTTTTTTCTTTTCTTTTTCGTCTGTGTAAATTAATTATGAGCCCTACTTCAATTTATTATTATTATTATTTTATCAATGTATTTAATTAAATTGTCCCCACCAATGCCAATAAAAACGACAATTGATAAAAGGGCCCATATAGAACATGATTGGTTCAAGAGCCATTAGGAACCATATTAAGCCCACAAAAGAACTTGTGTTTGAATCCAACATATGTGGCCCAACTAAAGAAAAAGTCCACCGGTCTGAGACCCAAATATATCGCTTGACATGAAAACAAGCCAAACCAGTTCAACAACGATTACTACAAGGCCATCATTCAGAATATTACTACACATTTTGTTTTAATGATATACAATGAAATAATACTTTAACTTCTAATTTGGTTTTGAGGGCTCGGGCGTTTGTGCCTGATTCAAACACAAATAATTTAATTTTGTGAACAACAGTAACTGGCTACTTAGTATACAGATTCAGATAAAAACGTGACAGATTTGTTTTTAGGTGAACTCAATTGAAAAAAAAATTGCAATCTAGCTTAGAATTAAGTTATATTGTTAACTTACATATGGCCTATGTCATTTTGTTTTTCCAAATAAGGAGACAGCATGCTTTCTAGTTACAACTAGATATAAATTTAATAGATTTTAAATTATATAAAGTGTTATATAATACATCTCTCCTCTATTTATAAATGCAGTCGAGTCAAAAATGACAATTTCTCGTGCTTCCTGATATTAGTGATTCGTATTTTTATCTTTCAACTTATGGTGCTACTACATCCGAAATTTTATCATTCTTATTATATTTTTAAAATTATAAAATACTCGATCAACTTAAATTATAAATATATTTCAAATTTAAAAACTTACTTATTTATTATTAAATTATTTATATCCAAATTAGTTGCTTTTTTACGATCTTTGGTTTGACATATACTAGTTTTTGTCCCGTGCATTTGCACGGAAAACTATATGATACATGAAAAAATAATAAAAATTATAAACAATAGTAAAAATCATAACAAATTCATTGAAAAACATTAAGAAAAAAAATATAAATATTCTTAAACGCTTCTTTATAAAACAACGTCGTGGTTTTTCTATCGTCAAAATCTCCCTCAGCTCAAATCAAACTCTTCAAACCCCACTGACTCGTAACTCTAAAAAGCGCCACGTATGATTGCTCATGACTAAATGCAGAGCTCTTCAGTAGTAAGCCGACGTGCGACAGAGACTGTCTTTGACTCTTATTGATCATGTCATAGCATAGGAAACACTTCTTTATATTGTTTGTCCTCGACTCTTATTGATTGATAGAGATTGTCTTTGCTTCTTAATAAAAAAAATACCATCTTAATATAAATGAGTAAATATAATATTAATTTTTTATATAAACAAAAAATTTAAAGTAATTGATAATGAGTATAGAATTACCCTTGCGGATTCAAGTTATTTCAACAATGTTCTTTTTATATATCTAAGATTTAATTTTTTTTTCTGATTTATATGAATATAAGCACATTTGACTAATTTTTATAAAATTTATTGAAAAAAATAATTACTATTTTTTTGAAAAACTGATAAGATATTAAGATAATACTGTACTTAACATAAATGTGGGATTAATTAAAATAAATCTTTTTAATTTAGTCATTAACTAATTAAATTTAACTATAAAAAACCTTCTTAAATGTGAGATTAATGAGTAATTAATTAAAAAAAATGTAACTCCTTTTGGAGGGAAAGTGAAAATATTTTTATTAAATGTTTTATTAAATGGGATTAGCTAGCAATTGTATATATATTGATTAAATGAAAGTGTTAAACATGAAGTACGAAGCACGACGTCACGTGTGATGTTTATATTCCTTTCTAAATTTAAAAAATTGAATGGTAATCATGATTCCCCTAAATTTTCAAATTAGTTAATGATTTAACTTTTTTAAAAAAAATTAGTAGTTGACCATATGCACAAATGAAAAAAAGAATGTATATATTATACATTATATGTATGTGTATAATATTAAATATAAAAATTAGACAATGAGTATATCACATCTTAAAATTTTGACAATTATTAGAAATGAATATTATAAGTATAAATTGTATAATTTACACATGACTCACAACAGTTATGACAATAATTATGTAATAAATTATATAATTTTCATAATTTAGAGAAATTGTAACAAGCTAATTGGTTGGGCTCGGGATCGGTTAATAATGGTTGTTTAGTTAACGAGTCGAGTCACAATAGACTAGTTAATTTAAGGTCAAGTTTGAGGCAGGGGCGGATTAGAATCAAGGGCTCCCAAGGTTAGAATGTTAGATTAACATTGTAAAATGTAACAAATTCAATGAATAAACAATGGGGGCATTTATGTAATTAAGTATTATCCTGTTGCTTGCATCCCTGATCTGTATGTCCTCAGACAATGAAGATTGTGAAGGAATCTCATCTGATGAGGTTAGCATTTCACCGGCTGACATCACAGCTTCTGAAGTGGACCCCAAAGGGCCGCATGATGACCAAATCGTCCCTAAGCCCGCTTTTGAGGACATTACTGTTTTATTTATTTATTTATTTATTTAATTTCAGGTGTTTGTAATTAGTGTACTGAATGGCGCTTGATAATGAGTTTGCTTTTGATGGCTTTCTTAAATGTTTAGATTTAGACTTATATGTAAGCGAGCCTTGTGTACGGTTGGTTTTCTAGCTATGGTTNATATTGCAAACTTTGCAGTTGGAACATAAATGTGAGTATCTTTCATCCAAGAAAATGAAACATAAATTGAAACGAGAAAATGAATCATAAATTGGAACATGATTCTGGAAAAGCAAATTCAATCCCATTTTGTCCTACGTAAATAAGGGTTATTTGTATTCTTGGCATTAAAAAATAAATGTAGCTTTGGGGATAATATGGAATTACAAAAGTTTTTTAACTTTTATTCGAATTGAAAACCATACAACGGCCATCTTTTAACTTTGGGCTGGAGTTGTATTTGGTTCACGAATTAGGCAATCATATTTTTCTTATAACTGTACATATTTAGTTTTAAAGTATAACATTTTGTTATATAAATATATATTTTCAATGCAAAAAAGGTCTGCCAAGCATTGTGTTTAAGTTTTAGCTCAAGAACCAACGGTTTGACATTTGAAAACAACCTACACAACTTTCTCCTTTGGGATTATAATTGCACTAGACAAGGGCTATTTAATTTAAAATGCACACTTTTTTTTGTGGAAAAATTTGCACTAAAGTTACCCTCGAAAACCACCACCTTTGAAAAATTACAAAAAAAAATTTAAAAAAAAAAAACTTGATTTAATNCTTTGAAAAATATAAAAAATAATTCTTGATTAATTTATATATACGTTTAACATTTTTTTGCTTCACCGGGACCCACACAATCGGTAGGGTCTCATTGCACATCATTATTGGATCGGGTCAAACAATTTTAATCCAACGAGCGGTCAAGAGTCTCAAGACCCGACTATTGACTACAGGGTCGGGTCAGGTCGGTGGTAATATGAGGATGCCTGCTCGGGTCAATCGACCCGTAAAAAGGTATGATTGATGTTCATTATTTAGTATTTACAGAGATTACACGTTACGGGAATATTCAACTATTTTTTTAATTAATTATGAGCCCTACTTCAGTTATACTATTTAAAAAAAGAAACTAAATTAATTTCTGATGCATCGGAAAAATGATTTTCTGCCGACATATATTTTTTAGATATACGGGGCAGAAAAATGGTAGTCCCACGGCTAATAATAGTTACTTGTAACATACACATGTCCCTTTAATGAGCACACTTCACTAATAATAAAAAAAGCGTCCAATACCAGTTGGTTTTTGTAAAATACACAATTGATGTGGATATTTGCTATTTACAAAAGGTAACAAGAGTCTTTCTATGCAAAATTATTATGTCGAATTTCGAGATTGCTTTATTAATTATACTTATGATCATTTACTATTCACACTCATGTTAGTACTGTTTCGTAATTTGAATATTAAAGTCTATCCTTACGCTAGCACACACCAAAAATCTCAAACTCGCAACAATTTACGCACACAAATACAGATGTGTGGGAAATAGATAAAATAAAATAAAGTGTTATATACACTAGCATTTAACCTAATATAGTCATAAATTTACCCAAGAGCACGTGGGTGAGATGGTTGGGGTCTCTCCCAGCTTAACCAGAGGTCTCGAGTTCGAGCCCTGGAAATGCAGCTGTGTTAAAACTCTTGAGGTAGAGCTTTGCTGCCCTTGTGGTCCTACCCGGCTCGATTCCGGATTAGTCGGTCCCCTCGGGGATTCGAAAACCGGAAGGTTCATTGTACCAAAAAAATATAGTCATAAATTTGCCAATCGAAAATATTACAAGTGTGAGGAGCTCGACTGGACGAACGAGCAACCTACCAAGACAACCAAGACGTCGTGAATATCAAAATGGCTCTAAGGGCTCTAAGGACCCTCGGAAGGATGATCGAGGATCTTTGGACGACACAAAATATCCCGAACAACCCAAACAAACCAGAGATTTCAAGGAAGGTCGAGCTAATGAACGGACGACCTAAAGAATGGGCGCGGCCTAATGGACATTACTACTGAGCTATTGTGGATAAGAAAAATGAATCTTATGATGATAAGAATGAATCTAATGATGACTAGGATATGATTAAGATAAAGATAAGCACTAAGCAGATAATATCAAGCCCGGGCAGACTATTTCGGGTTGGTATTTTCCTATAAAAGGTGCCATGTTATACCCGAACACAACTCTACATTCTCCATACATTATTCATAGCTTTGATTACATAGCACCACCATCTTCTTCTCTGTGCTAATTTCGGCGTCGGAATACTAACGTTGGGAGTCCCTCCCGGCCCATTCCAGGTCATTTCGAGCAGCTCAGGCAGATCGGAGTTCAGATCCAACCGACTCAGCCTTGACTCGGGGTTCCGGTACATCATAACCTATATGAACTAAAACACAGTATTCATATGTATTAAAGTCAATAAAAAGACTCCTCTTGAGTTTGCTGAAAAATTGTCACGAATATCAAGTCTGATTGGATCATAATGTAATAAAGGTTGACAGGAGTCGAAGGCTGAAAGGCTGCGGCGAACGGCGGTGGGGTGAGTCACACGCACCGGAGAAAGCTTCCGGCACTGTGACTAAGACAAAGCGCGTAGAGACCACAAGCGCCGACGATGGCACTAAAACTTCGAGTGAAGACTCACCTAGAGATGCCAGATAAGATGACTGGGGTGGTGAGAGTCGACGATGGCTAGAGACGAGCAACGAATAATTTAGCCTATGTTTGACCCTGGTTCTGATACCATGTGAGAGTTGTGGAAATATTATATCCCCTTAGATAATAGATATATAATTTTCGAATGTGCTGAGCCAAAAGTAGCAGACTCGCATGTTTCGGGATCTTATGTGGCAAAATTACATGCTTAATTATTTGACTTGGATAGATTTTAATTTAGTTTCAATCCAAAAATTAATTAGGTGGGGATTATCCATAAATATATTGACTATTTATAGTCAGGTTGCATGTATTAATTGCATTTCAATATCATTTTTTATTATAACAATTGAATTGTAAATGTATTTTAAAAGTTAATAACTTTTGTATTTTTTATCTGTTTTATATATATAATATGTCAAACCAATCATTTGTTGATGAATTTCGATTTGACATCCATATAGTATGTATGAACTAAATAAATTATACTTATCTTTATAACAATAATAATATTATTAATTAATATTAATTAAAAAAATAAAATTATTTTTCAATTAATATATTTATGTTTCAAGTAATATGATATAAGTTAGAAAAAAACATTATAATATAAACATGTAAGTCGCACAAGTGTGATTCTAAAAGTGTGAATTACAGTCAATAAAAACGCGTGTACTCCCTTTTAATCATTTCTTGCATGAGAATGTTACTGTCACAATTCAAAACGTGGCCTCCCTTTAATCATTCATCGTTTACTCGAGTATGCCAAACGAATTGAACAAGCCAGATTGAGTTTCGTGTATATATACAGATGATCTTTGGAATGAAACCAAACCACAACACTCTTTAACAACATCATATATAGAAAACAGAGAATATATAGTTTGTTAAAATGAGTTGTAAGCTGATTAAAGCTCTTATTCCATTGCAATTTGTGCTTTTCTTCGTGTGCCTTTCGAAGTCTTCCCGTGCGCTACAGAAGGATTATTATAAAAACAAATGCTTCGGACATGGAAAGCAATACAACGTGGAGGCTCTTGTGAGTGACGAAGTTAAAAGTGCGTACAGAAGTGACAAATCTATTGCTCCTGCTTTACTAAGATTGCATTTTCACGACTGTTTTGTGCGGGTAAGGCCATCACATTTAACTCCAACGCTCGTCGATATTGATATATATTATTGCTTAGAGGATTAAATAACGTCAACCTTCTTTTGCAGGGTTGTGATGCTTCGATCTTGCTAGACTCGACTCGAGGTAAACCGGCGGAAAAAGTCGCGCCACCAAATAATCCGAGCATCAAACAGAGCACATTAGACCGTATAAACTACATTAAGGGTCAACTTGAATCCCTATGCAAAGGTGTCGTCTCGTGCGCTGATATAATTGCGTTTGCCGCCCGGGACAGTGTCGTGTTGGTATGACAATCGAAATTAATTTATCAGGCACTATTTTTACTTAATATGCCCTTAATTTGCATATTTCATCAACTCACTCGTGTCTACTTATAACCAACTTTTGTTCTAACATGGCTACAACTTAACTAGTTAGTGTTGCTAAACAAAACGAGACAAATTTTTATATAAATTTCTATAGTTCGACTCGTTAATGTTGATAAACGAGACGAGCTCGAGTTCGATTACTGGCTTGCTAAAGACTCGAGCATGGCTCTACTCGTTTACACCCCTTAACTGAAAATCGATTAGTCCCGACCAAACAAAGGATTGATTTCACTCAATCTTTCTTGTTCGGTTTAACGTGTCCGTGATTTCCTTGTCTTTCCTAATCCTTTCTTTTTCTTGTCGTGAAATAAAGACCGGCGGGAAAAGTTATGAAGTATTGGGCGGAAGGATGGACGGCAGAATCTCAAATGCTTCGGAGGCAAAGTCGATGGTGCCATCGCCTCAATCTAACTACAAAACCCTCTCCGATGCCTTTAAAAAAAAGAACTTAACAGAAGTACACATGATCGCACTTTCCGGTAAACATTATATTTGTGTGCTTTTTTCTGTTCATGGTCGACCAGCCTAACGATCAGACTTGAACCTGTGCATATACGCAGGAGCACACACAATCGGGCAGACCAACTGCAGCTCTGTCACTAAAAGACCGGCACCGGCCAGTTGTTCGCGGAATCCACAAAAACTAGTGGACATGGAAAACACCCCACAAAAATTTGATAACGGTTATTACAATCGCGTCCTCCAACGCCAAGCCCTGTTTTCCTCTGACAATGCCCTGCTTAATAACAAAATTTCACAGACGATAGTGAAACGATATAATGGTTCGTTCGATCAATGGTTTCACGACTTCGCGATTGCTATGCAAAAAATGGGGGAGATTTTAGATACGGATAAGAGTAATCATGGTGAGATTCGATCTGACTGCAGAAAGGTTAACTAACGGCGTTGATAAAGGTGTCTGCTCAAATCGAAATCTGGTCTGAATAAAAAAAACAAATGTAGTTCCTTTTTCTTTTTTCAATTTCTTTCTTGTCTTTGTTTTGTGTGTGTTTTTCTTCGTGTATTTCGAATTTGGATGCAACAGTCGTTATAATGTATGTTGGATAAATCGACTACTTTGATATGCATACTGAGTAGGGAATGTTGTACTTTTTATTACTCCCTCTGTTTCTTATTAAATGTCGTTTTAATTTAAAACTTCTAAATTACGATTTTAATGGGTTGTGTAATAATCTTATTTTTAATCTTATTAAATTTAGTTTTTGATTTATTAATGGGTGGTTTTTAAAGATAATGATAAGAGATAATGTTTGTTAAAGAGAATAAAGATGTAATAATGAATATAATATTTCCAACGACAATTAATTTGCAAAAAAGTTGACACCCTACAACGACATTTAAAACGAAACAGAGGGAGTATAACATATCTATTTTTGTTCCAAGAAAGGAAAAAAAAAATCTGGACCCATAACAGAAGAAGTTTGTCCCACTCCCACCGTCATGAAGACTTGATCATTATTATTCCATGATAGAGGGTTAATTCACCACACTGCAGTTATACTATAGTAATTATTTATGCAAATAATCAATTTTTGTGGTCGAAAAAGTTTGCCGAAGCAATGGTGAAGATGGGGAGTATTGAGGTCTTGACGGGTAGTCAAGGTGAGGTTCGTGCAAATTGTAGAGTGATCAATGGGTAAGGAAAATTGCACTTCTCTTAGAAAACGATCGATTGATCTTGACTTGTGTATCGTAAAAGGTAACCGAATAAATGTGGTTCCGACCATGTATTGTCCAAAATTGTTCGATAGGAATTTAGTAGTCTACCAACATATGGTCTTTCCTGAAACAAAATGCAAGAACATACGAGGTAATTCTACCTACGATTACATGAAATGTTCGAAAGTGTTCGTGTATGTAGTGTGTGCATAATATTGAAATGGTAAATGTGTGATCCCAACACATAATTCTTGGCATGAAAGAGTAGCTCACTTCAGAGAACACAGAACGAATGCGATTTTCATTATTAACGAGCCGATTTTGAGCCTTAATAAGCCGATCTCGAGCTTCAACGAACTCGAGCTCAAGCCAAACTCGAGCCTTAACAAGCCGAGTCGAGCTAGGCTCGTTTAATTTAACAGCACTAGTTTTGATGAACTTAACCAATAGATCAATTGTGTCACCACTAGATCGATGTCCCTACCCCGACTCAAGCAGAGATAATCCATCACATATACACATGAATATTAGTCCAAAGACTAATCGAATTTCACAAAAAGAAGATTTTTTTTTTTTAGCTCAATGAATTTTCTCCACATACATCTTTCGGAAAAATAAATTTATACAAACTACAATTCCAAGTAAAACAATCGGGATAGATACTATTAGGGCATGATCCCGGATCCCTAGCGCAAAAAACCCTTCACGGTTCTTTAATCTCACGACTTAGCGAAAGAACAAAGGTCAGGCCAAATTAAAATTTATAATTAATGCATCAACAAAAGAAATGCCCGATCTAGCGAGGAATAATATGTCGTTGGTATGGTCCCAATTGCTCGTCTTCTTTTTTCATAACATTTTTGTACACTCTTTCATTCCTTTTTTCCTGGCTTTCTTTTCTTGGTCCCAAGCCTCATTGTTAAACGCATGGCAATGGCCAGTAGACCCGACCCACTTCGAACATGGGGCAGATAAATCGCAAACAAAACAGAAACACTGCACGTAAGACAAAATGCATCAAAAAGTCAGTACCTGAATAGCGTAACCATTCAAAAAAGATTTTTTTTAAAAAAAAATAGATTTTTAGCTATATAAGTACATAGTTTTACCAATTCACAGTGACTGTCATGAGGAGTCTTCTGGAAAGGATATTTTGCGCATGTGTGCCGTGGATGAGGATAATCTCGGCATGCTACCTGCAGCTCGAAAGGGAAGGAGATAAAAAGGTTAATTAAGTTCTCTCAATGACAAACAACATAATTTAACTGCAGAAAGAATATAGACAATGACAAATTAATGTCTCAAAACTTATGGCTTTCATAAAATTCAGCTGCACCTGCAAGATATGTAGCTACACAAGCAATGGAACACAAGACAATACTCACAAGTGCTCTAAAAGCCAAATATCATTCAATTAAAATCGTGTCTTAAGGCCGTTGATTGATTGTAGCTTATTTTCTTTTCGCTCATATTAACAAACCAATGAGGCGTTTTTTCAATCTCTATCTCGATTAATCAATTGAACGAAAACTTAGGTGCAAAGAATTCTTCTTTTATTTCACCAAAAACTGAAACCAGATCTTTATTCATATTTCATACCATGGCCGCATCAAAAGCATTGAAAATTTTGAATGCAAACAAAACCACACTGGAACAAGTAAATTTACAGTTAACAATGGTATAAAATATATGATATCAAATCAGTACACAATTACCACAAGGGCAATAACTTTAAGCAGTGAAACTAAGAAACTCAATTTTCGCAGTATTAAGGATGGAAAAATGAAACCTTTGCAAATTTCATAACTTCATAGCACTATATCATCATCATTTCCCTAAAACTGCTAACTGAACCCAGACAAAAAGGAGCACTCACCATATCCATGAAATCAATATCAACACCATCTAGCAAAACAACTAACAATTTAAAACTCAATCAAACAAAAACAAAAAAAAAAATTAAAAAATAATAAAATAAGCAGAAATTATTCAGTCAATCACCTGCCCCTTTTCAGCAACCACCTGCAAATCGACCTCGGCATCATCACAGTCATCCATCAATGGAGACCTCAACCTCTGCATATCATCGTACGGATCGAACTCGAGGATGAAACACTCCTCGTTTGCCTCGGCCATCTTTATCTGGTCCCTGTTCCGCAGACAGTAAACGGGTCTCAAAGGCGTGACCTTTCGATCGGGAGAAGGGTAAGAGTCGTCTATCTCAATCACTTCGATTTTCTTTTCCGCCATTGAATGGGACCTCCTCGCTGGTTTCTTCTTTCGAGCTCCATTGACGCCCAATTTCGAGGATTTGTTCTTCGGTAAAACCCTGGAAGAAGAAGGGTTTTTCGGCATTAAACAAGAGTGAATTTTGAAAACTTTGAAATTTGGTGCTTTTCAAATTTCGATTGTCAGAGGATAACGTTCTAACCAAGTGGCCAGTAAATGGGCCAGGGCTTGATAATATTGACTTTGCGGCCCAGTTAATTGCAGGTTATTCATATATGGGCTGGATAATGGATAGTCGATGAATGTCCCAGTCCATGTCGTAGAAAGCCCATCGAATTAGAGGTAGTGTAGTAATTAGTTCGGACTCAGTTTGGCACTTAGCCGATAACTGATAGCAAATGAGATAACTGAATTAGCAAATTAGGCAGCTATTTAGTGAAAAATTAGTTGTTTGATATATTAAAATAACAGAAATTGCAATTTTCTATTCAAAAGAAAGCTCTTGTGTGAAGTCTTTTTGAAAATAAGCTCTTCGGATCCCAAAATTTATTTTAAATTGCTACTTACCAACCAGAAAAAATTAGTGGTTCTTACCGTGTCAAACTTATAATTCACCTTCAAACCTCTAATTTGATTCCAAAACGCTAATTATCAAACTAACACAACCAGTTTTCATAAATGTAGAGGCTTGGCCGTCTTCTTTTTGTGTATCGAAATTCAAATTTATGTTCAAATTAATATGCATTTATGATATACCATTACTCAGTCACTCTTTTAATTATATGCGGATTGGCCCTTTTGTTAGTTTTATGATATGGGCCCAATATGCTCTTTCTCCATGGGCCAAAAGCCCACAAGATATTTGTCACGTTAATTTCAGGATAATCGGAATAAGGTAATGTTAAATTGTTAGTTAATACATCTTGACCGTGACGTTTAAACAAGCGGCACCGTGTTTTAGGTGTGACATTTACGTGTGATCTCAAATTCTCAGTTCTTATTTATGTCAATGGTCAATGTGTAATCCAGGAATATCGGTTGTATTATCGAATTAATAAATATAATAATTTATATAAACATATATATACAATATAACATAAAATATAAAAATAAAAGAAAATGACCATATTCATTAAAATTTTAACTTATCAATGAGAGAAAAATAAAGCATATAAACTACAAAATTTAAATATTACATTTTCAGCTAATAATATTTACTTTATAATTTTTTTATTGTTGACAGCTATTTCAACTCGTATTTTTTGATATTTATGATATAATCTCAATTTAATCTGGTGCTACCGTAAATATGATATTTTATGTATAGTACCCGATTAATCGACTATGCTCCTCTATTCACGGTGGACAAATTTTAATATGTCCACAACTTATATGAATAGTGTCAATAAGGTAGGTAATCCTTGATTAATAACTACGTAAAAGAACATGAATAAATAAAACAATTGTATAATAAACAATAGTTGTGTTATAAATTTATTTTGTGAATACAAAATTAACTCTTGGACCATTGTCATCATTGCATTATTACGTAGACTGATTTACATTTTCATCAATATCAACAGCTGTAGATGCCATATGCTTGTTCAATTAC